TTGCCCTTTTTTGCCCGATAAGATGAGTGAATTCGTAATGAATCTTTCGTTACAACATGGTCGGATACGCCCCAACCACCCTGTCTTCCGAACCGCAGCGTCCGTAGTCTTATCTAGCGGTTCTCTCTCTCTCCCACTCTGGTCTACTCCGCCCGCTGGCTCACGGGCTGCCCGTGCTTGCAGCGTAAAAATGGGAATGAACCCTCCGCTAGAATGCGGATAGGTGCACCCACGTTGCACAGCCGTTCCTACTCAGTGCGGCTCACCCTCTTACTACTACTAATTCTTAACTATAACTAACTTCAATTTTAGACTCGCCCCTCTCAGAAAATCTCGATCTGCGTTCTCCTTTTCTGTGGATGCAGCTGGCGTCAAACCCGACCAGGTTCATTCGCCTCTCTCAGCCTTCTCCTCGTAGTTTTTCCCCGTCATGCACAACGCATCCTTCACTCCCTCGCCCCCAGCAGCACTAACACTAACATACTAACTTCAGATCTAACGCTACAGTCTAGCTCCCCCTTCCCAAAAACCCCTGACTTCCACTTTACTTCGCTCGATTCGTGTACGAATCGAGAGAGAGATCATTCTTTTCCCCTTTACCATGACCTTGACACTCCTCACTCAACATCTCTCTCTCTCCCAACTCTCATCTTACCAATCCTCCTCTAAATCTAACCCTTTCATTGGATTCGTCTTCCTTCGAAACTCCCGTTTTGCACCTTCCCTCACCCGTTTTCACCAAGGAACGGGTGAGCTCTATGCTTTTTACTTTTGCCTCTTCTTCTCCCATAGCCATTTTGGCGCAGCTCGTACTTCTTCCCGCTCCCTTTCTATCGGTCCTCTCCTGAAACTAACTACAGAATCGAATTCGCCCTACCTAAACACATCGGGCTAACATCTTCCCCCGCCCGTTTTCGTTGAGAAACGGACGAGCCATCTCCTTTCCACCCCGCCTGCCTCCACCATCGCCCATCCTTGCTGCGCATGCATCTGGCACCTCAGCCCGCCAAGGTTCACTCCACAGTCCATGCTTCCCTCGGCTGCCTCGTCGCCTGGCCGCGACCAGCGACCACGAGAGTACCAGGTGGCCACGCTCTCCTCCTTAGCTCCTCCCTTTCGAACGGATCCGGGGCGGAAACGCGCCCGGATTCATTCCTTCTGTCATTCCCCAACTCCTCTCTATCACCTTCCCTTGCTCTGCCTCCCGTTACTCCTCTACCTGTTGTCCGTCGCTCTCCACCTCAATACCCACTGGTCTCCTCCCTGTTTGCTTGCGCATGAATCCGGACGCAGACAGCGTCCGGGTACATTCCTTTCTGCAAGTCGTTCCCCTGTGCAGCACCTCCCCTAGTGTCCGCCTTCTTCCCCGTCACTCCGTTCGCTCTCGCTGTTACGCCGCGCCACACTGCCCGTTCCTGTTGATCTCTACTACTAACCGGCTGCTTACATCGGCCTCGGATCCGACACTACGACTGGTTCCTCCAAGCAACAGGGCGCGGTCCTATAGCTGCGCTCTACCCCGCTCATCAACCCCTGCTACTCTGAGGAAAACTACGGTGGGTACCAGCAACTGGACGGTCCGAGCAGCCTTTTGCCCCTAAGCCCCAGTCCGACGAACGATTTGGACATCAGTATTGCTGCGGGCTTCCACCTTAGCGCCAGTCCGCCCACTGCCTTTGCTTCGGGTCGTTCTCCGCTGCTGCCCGGCCTGTCCGTAACCAGCACAGCCTGTGGTCCGACAACCCCCACCTCTCAGAAAACTCTGGTTGTCGGCCGGCCCTCATTTTATAGCCTTTACCGGTGTCGAGGCCCCATGCCAATCTACTCTGTATCGTTCCAATTTTAACGGATGTCCCGAAGGACTTAGCCGCGGTGGTACCCCCACCTGCGGTTCTCTAAGATGTGGACTGCCAGTCGCGGTACCGCATCTTGAACCAAAACGGGACTGCAAATACCAATAGAAGTAATAGGTAAATATTAGAAAAAACAAGATAAAATAAATTATTATAAAGTCGAAATCCCTAAGCAGGCTGCGGGGACGGCTAAACTCCACTGGTCCCGTTGACCGGGCCTCTCGCCGCGCCCGTCAAAAGAAACCGAAGGGGGATAGCCCCGTCGGCCCTCAACCCCCTCGGTTTTCTCCTCGATGCTCCGCTGCCTCCGCACCGACATCTGCCGGCCTCAATCCCCGAACCTCCGTTGTAATAGTCCGATGTCGTAACCTATAGGGCTAAGCCCAAGCCTGAGACCAAAACACGCCGAGTGCCATATAAGACGGTGCCGCGCGGCGCTTTGGGCCAACAAAACGGCTGCGCGGTTCCCAGTGCCCGCGCCGGCTTGCTTATACCATGCCATAATTGCCCCGCGCGCCATCCTACGACATCCTGCTCATCGCACGAAGTCGCGCTGTCGTTGCCGATGCCGTCGTCGGGGTCGTTTCTCCGCACGTGCGCTCTACTCGGTCAAACATAATCATCGAAAGAAAAATCCTTAATCCCTGCTTAATAAATAAATAATAATATCACCAAGCGAAACGACCGAGGTCCGGGCCGGCTTTACGGTCAATAACAAAAATGAATCACGCCCACCTGAAACCTGCGCGCCCACACACTCGCTATTGTGGTCAACCACCTAGTCCACGCAATTACTGACTGAGCCGCGCTTAGCACGACATACTTAAACTCTAGACCAAAACTATTTTCTGTCACTTGCAAAAACCAGGGCGGATACCCTTGTAAGGGTATTTGCACCAACATCGAAGAATCAACACTGAGAGAGGGAGAGAGAGAGAGAGAGAGAGAGAGAGAGAGAGAGAGAGAGAGAGAGAGAGA